GCAATTGACGAAAGAAAACTGACTGCATTAGTACTCCTGGACTTCTCCAAAGCATTCGACTCCTTAGACCATTCTATTCTCTTCAATAAATTAAAATCTCTATCCTTTTCCAATAGTTCTATCCAATGGTTCCAATACTTTCTTTCTGACAGGACTCAAGCCGTTAGTATTCCGAATCAACCCTTATCTTCTTTCCTCACTTTGTCTCATGGAGTAGCCCAGGGTTCAAGCATTTCTCCTATCCTTTTTAATTCTTACATCAATGACCTTCCTAGTTCAATCCACCATTGTTCATACCATCTATATGCTGATGACTCCCAAATTTATTTTTCCTTTTCGCCCACTGAGTTATTAGAAGCGTTTACGAATATTCAGAGAGACCTAGATAGGACAAGTGCCTGGGCAAGCTTGAATAAATTAAAGTTGAATGCAACGAAAACTCAGGCCATTCTTATAGGTTCCAGCTCCCTCCTTAGATCTATTTCCACCCATCCTTCCTTGATTATTAATGACCAACCAATCTCCTTCACCTCCTCTGTAAAAAACTTAGGAATTACTATTGATCAAAACCTATCATGGAAACCCCATATTGCTCAAATCTTCAGAAAATCTATTGATACTCTTAAATTATTTCATCGTTCTCGTCAGCATCTCCCACAACCTATCCGCAGGCTCCTCGTTTCCTCATTGATTTTCCCCTACTTTGACTATGGCTGTGTGGTATACGGTGGCCTCTCGTTGGAGCTTGAGGACAGACTGAAGAGAATCATGAACTGTTTTTTAAGATTCGTCTTCGGCACTTCGAGATGGTCTCATGTGTCCCGCCTATATGCCGAGTCAAAGTAGTTCTTCCCCTCTTCCCGCTGCCTATACTTCCTGGCAGAAATTGGAAATTTCTTATACCAAACGATCAACTCCCAGCACCCTTCCTATGTCTGTTGTCTCCTCCAGCCTAAATGCTTAGTCCACTCAATAAAAACGAGATCCCGTGTTTCTGACCTCTATATTCCATTCCACAGGACAAAAACTTATGAACGTTCCTTCTTAGCCCGCTCCGTCTCCTACTGAAATTCTTTGCCACATAACATCCGTCATGCCTCTTCCCTTTCAACTTTCAAATATCTCCTTTTCCAATATCTCCTTACATCCCAAACAGAAGATTTACCACCATAAATTTCATTTTATGAACTGAATTTGCGTGAAGTAAATAGTGGTGCCTACTGTTTAAGTTTTAACATAAAACAGCAATGATCTTTGTCACCTAGTTTGACTATTATTTTTACTATTTATTTATTTTTCTCTTCTCCTCAGGTTGTGCTTTTTTTTTTTCGGGTATATATGTTTATATTTTATATCTTTGTCTTTATGTGTGCCAATATGAGAATGTACGTATAAATAGTTCCTTTTATTTATTTATTTTTTTCATTACACCACACCATTTTATTTGATTTTATTTATTATTATTAAGTTTCTGTACTATTTATTTTTATTATTGTAAATAGAGTGTGAGTGTGCTCTCTTAACACTATTATAATTGTCCTTGATGTGACAGAATGTAATATTTCTAAATAAACAAATATATATATTAGCATTACACAAGTATCGTAAGATTTTATTTTATCTTAGTATCTGCATATTATTATATAAACCACTGTAGATATTATTACATTTTGTATTAAGTTAGTTTTCTATTAGATAGCCTATTGTTTATAAATTGTGTAGTTATGTATATATAAATATGTAATTTCTCTTCTTTTTTTTTTCATCACAATCAAGTAATTTTGAGAAGATTTTATGTTCATTTGTATATATATTTTATTTTTTATTTTTTACTGGTTACATACTTTTTAAATAACGTATATAATATTAAAACTTTTATAAGTTAGTTTTTGGCCAGATTTGTACTTTACTTTGTATTAACTCATCATTGTTATTCTAAAGGGACTTAGTCCCAGAATAAAGTTTAATTTTCTATTCTATTCTATTCTATATGATCAACTAAAATATCTCCAGTTGCTTATTCTGAAATTAGCTTTCCATTTCTTTCCACAGCCAATAGGTCTTGTGTGTTAGCATTACTAGATAGTGATTTTTCCAGTTTCCAGAGTTTTCTTCCCTCTCTTTCCATATTCAATTTTCTCATGCAAGGTCTTATTTTTAGATTTTGCTGTTGTAGTTTTGTAATTGCCTCCATTAGTTTTATGTTATTTTGAGATGAAGGGTATCTCTCTGCCACATCCCGTAATTGTGATACATTGGTTTCTAGTTTATCTAGTTCATCGGTAGATAGCAGTACAAGCCATGTTGAACGGCTTGCACTGCTTTCTGCCCTATTAGAAGCAGCAAAGGAAAGTATACCTAGAGGCAAGTCGGGCTAAAAGTTTAATTTATTTGATGTTACGTATATATGGAACGTGTACCTATCTGTGAAATCAGTGTAGATTTTCTTATTTTGCTTTCTTGAAGTTCCATCTTGGTAGAGGAGGTGCTTCAGGGGCCGAGAAATTCAAGTCCACTTAGAGTGTGGTAGGCCTATGGTCGCTTCCTCCTAGTTGGTTTACTGTGTAGAGATAGCTAGATTTTTGTAGGAAATACCAAGTCCGGGAGGTAGTTGATTTCCCGGTTCATGAGTAAAAAGTAGAAGAGTCATCAAGTTTAATGAAAAAAAAAACAGAAAAGGACCTTGAGTCCACAATTTGATTGTATGATCAGCCTAGACGAGGTAAAAAACAATCAATATAGCTATTATTAAGTCATCCACTTCACGATCTCAGAGATGCTATTTACGGACTGACTCAACGAGAGTATGTCTAGATCTTTCGCTAGTGAATGGGGCACAACAGGTTAAAAAGCACACCTATTCAGTAAGTTAAAAATTGGCTCTTAATCCCCTCTGCGAGTGCGGTGAGGATGAACAGAATGTGGAACACATACTACAAATATGCAGGGTCTACTCCCTGCAAAGGAGAGTGATCTGCTGGCCCTCTCCAATTAAAGTGGAAAGAAAACTATGGAAGCCTGGAGTGCCTGAGGAGGACTACCAAATTCTTCATTTTAGTTTCTGACCTTGTCATATAGGGAAGAAGTTTATTATTTGGTAATTTATAGAATTACATTAATTTCCGTTATCACATAAATTTGACACTTTAAAGTGAAAGGGCATGATTTAGATTTAATGAATTCATTCAGAGATGTTTGTAGAATTGTATTCCTAATCATTGCATAAGATACTTCTTGAACTGTTTGAATCGCTTTCATGTTTCTATCCTTTGATATAACTTATAAATGTTTAAAATGTTTTGTTTAGTTTCATTATATCTGGATATCAAATCTTTGGTACACATATATAAAGATGGTGGATGATAATAAAGGATAATGAAGTGGGAACAGGATCTCTGTTCATTCAAATGCAGTCCTACTTGGGTCGGGGTCTCTAGATAGATCTGACTACTCTGCTTCTTGTTATACCTAGGCCCATAGTCAATACACAATACTGAATGGACACTCATCAATTTTGGATAGTTAGATCCTCCTACCTAGCTGTAGGATTTATAATTTCCCAAGGATTCAGTAGCATTAATGTGGCTAAATATGAGGTATGATGTTTGCATTCCATCTTGACTCAAGGATATAGCATACTGAGGACTGCATGCTAATAATTATGTGATGATGCTTCTGCAACATTGAGATGCAGATGCACTTTATTGTATTAGTCTTCTTCTACATGCACTTGTGAGAGGGATGACCTTTTGTTGGTCCTAAAATTTAAATTGAAAAAAGGAAAGAAACTAGAATACAATGAAAAAGAGGACTTTAAACTTTCAGCGACAATCAGTGGGAGGGGCGGAGCATCCTTGAAGATGGAATAATTTTTATCACCTCAAAAGTAGATTTGATTACCGAGCAAGCACTGCATTGTTTGATGAGAAAGAACCTGATTAACCCCGACTTATATATGAGTTCACTATTGCATGAGCCAGATTCTTTCTTGACTCATATATGAATCCACTAAAGGGTTAAAAAGCAACACAAATATATAATGAAAAAAATATGTATAAAATTTATGCAAATTAAATGAATTAAAAAAACTAATTCAACGATAATGGGAAATGATTCCTGAGTAATGTGAAACTCATTTTTGCAAAGAAACTCTGAAGGGAATTGTTTCACCTATAATGAAATAATAGAGTACAAATAAATGTTTGTATGACTTGAGTACTAAAAAGTAAAAAATAATTTAATTTCAAACCTGTTGTTAGCATTTTATATTTATTACAGATGTGCAGTCAATTATAAAATTTCCTGGTAACTTATTACTGACTACAAACACATATATATTTATGCTGAATTGGGTACTTGCATGAATTTTCATTTTTATTCTAGGTGAAGATTAGTTCATAACAAAAAAATGCAAAAAGTCCCAAATTTTTCAGATGGATATTTGTAAAAATAATAAGAGCTAAAGAAAAGTGGAGTGGATAGAGCTTCATCACAGGAATGGAGACTCACCATGCCAGCTCTAGCTCATACTTTTTAGTTTAAATAGTGATTTCAGCTTTAGAACTTCCATCCAAGAAATATGTTTCCATTTTCTTCTCTTATCCTTTCTTCTCTGAATAGAAATATTTAGTTTAAAATGTATTTTATTAGCTTTTATAAAAGTAGGGCTAAGAGATGTTTAACAGCATCGTGTATGGCAGTGGTATAAGTCATGACTCGGTAGATGCAAGCCATATCTTCATCTCTAATATAAACCTTTTTTTATTATTGGAAAAGTACGATCTAAATGTTATATACGTTCTTTACCACTTGAATTCTATTGCAGTACAAATTTACATGACTTTTTTTCCATACAAATACCCAATTGTGCCTTTTTCATTTCAGATATGTGGTATAACTGATTAATAAATTTTTTTTTTTCAAGGGACCCGATATTTATTTTGTAGGTCCATATTAATATATAAATAAACAATGAATAAATTAGTTAACATTTTCCTTACAGCTGATGTTGATGGCAGACTGCGTAGATGTCCTTTTTTTTCAGAGATCTGAAAATAAATTAATAATTTTAAAAGAAGTTTTTAGTTAATATTATTGTTGTTGGCCCACTTAGTGTTACTGCAAAAATGTACAGAAGAGAAGGGACAAATGAGTTACAAATTTTCCTTACAGATGTTTTTGGTTTTTTTTCCTTCTTTTCAGTTATCTGAAAATAATTTAATAAAGTTAATAGGAGCTATTCATTACTACTAATATTACTTGCCCACTTGTATATATATTACTGCTAATATATAAACAAGAAAAGGGACAAATGAGTTACAAATTTTCCTTACAGATGTTGGTGGTTGTTTTTCCTTCTTTTCAGTTATCTGAAAATAATTTAATAAAGTTAATAGGAGCTATTCATTACTACTAACATTACTTGCCCACTTGTATATATATTACTGCTAATATATAAACAAGAAAAGGGACAAATGAGTTACAAATTTTCCTTACAGATGTTGGTGGTTGTTTATCCTTCTTTTCAGTTATCTGAAAATAATTTAATAAAGTTAATAGGAGCTATTCATTACTACTAACATTACTTGCCCACTTGTATATATATTACTGCTAATATATAAACAAGAAAAGGCATAAATGAGTTGAAAAGTTCCTTACAGATGCTTTTTGGTCTGGTTCTTGTCCCTTTGTTTCAGTGAGCTGAAAATAATTATATAATGTTACTTGGAGCTGTTTTCTAATGTTAATATAATTGGCCCACTTGTGTATATATTGCTGATGTATATGTACACAAGATGAGGCATAAATGAGTTAAATATTTCCTTACTGAAGATATTTTGCCTAGTGTTCGTCCCAATTTTTCGCTGATCTGAAAATCATTTAAAAATGTTAATAGAAGCTGTCAGTTAATATTACCATCCCAATTAATATATGTTTTATTTTCTTTGTTTATTCCCTATTCAATAATATCTGACCTACTGATGAATTGATATAGAGGTTAAACAAACCTATTCTAAGCAGAGAGAGAATATCCACCTGTTAGTAGTATATGCACAAGAAAAGGGATAATTTAATTAAAAATTTTCTTACATATGTTAATGGTTGATTGCTTGATCTACGTTCCTTTGCTTCAGTGATCTGAAAATAATCAAATAATACAAATAAGATATCTTATTTAATATTAATATTATTGGCCCACTTAATATTACAAATAATATAAACAAACAACTTTAATGAGTTACAAATTTTCCTTACAGATGCTGGTGGTTGTTTTTCCTTCTTTTCAGTTATCTGAAAATAATTTAATAAAGTTAATAGGAGCTATTCATTACTACTAATATTACTTGCCCACTTGTATATATATTAATGCTAATATATAAACAAGAAAAGGCATAAATGAGTTAAAAATTTCCTTACAGATGCTTGTTTGTCTAGTTCTTGTTTCTTTGTTTCAGCGATTTGAAAATAAATAAATAATACTAATAAGAGCTGTTATTTAATATTAATATTATTGGCCATTTATTATTAAAACTAATGGTTTACTAAAAAAAAAGGCATAAATGAGTGAAAAATTTTCTTACTGATTCTCGTTTATTTTGATCAAGTGATTATAAAATAATTAAATAATGGTAATAGAAGTTATTATTTAATATTAATATTATTGTCCCACTTCTTAATATATTGCTGCTAATATATTCTTAAACTGTAGTATACTGTTTAACATTAGATAGATAGATAGATAGAAAGTAAACTTTATTCTGAGACAAGGTCCCTTATGAATAACAGATATGAACAGAAAATAAAAACTACATCTGGCCAAAAATTACATTAGTCAATGTTAAAGAATATATAGTATCTTCAGTAAAATTAAATTAATACAAGTAAAAATAACACCATTTTAAAGAGAAAACAAAATAATAAAAAACATTATTTAAATGAAGAGAGAACAAAATAAAATAAACAGGGGTTGATTTTTAAAATTAAAAACTCTATCAATTTTTATAACCATTCACCTCAGTCAAAATCTGTTTGGCAATATTTATTTTATTGTATACCGTCATTTTGGGATGTGAGAAGGAATTGGTAAAGATGATATTTAAATGAGGACAAGGAAGAGGCATGGCGGATTTCAGAAGGCAAGGAATTCCAGAAGGCAGTGGATCGGGCAATAAAGGAATATTCAAACGTCTTGGTTCTATGGGAAGGGATATAAAGGTCGGAAACACGGGATCTTGTTTTCTGGGAGTGGACCACGGGTTTAAACTGTAGGAGACTGTAGATGTAGGAAGGTGTAGGAATATACACTCAAGAGAAGGCATAAATGAGTTAATAAGTTTCTTACAGATGCTTGTTTGTCGAGTTCCAGCTCCTTTTTATCAGTGATCTGAAAATAATTAAATAATAGTATAAGAAGCTGTTATTTAATAGTTATAATAATTGCCTACTTCTTAATATATTACTGCTAATATACACACAAGAGAAGGCATAAATGAGTTAATAAGTTCCTTACAGAAGCTCGTTTATCAAGTTCCTGTTCTTTTTTATCAGTGACCTGAAAATAATTAAATAATAGTATAAGAAGCTGTTATTTAATAGTTATAATAATTGCCCACTTCTTAATATATTACTGCTAATATACACACAAGAGAAGGCATAAATGAGTTAATAAGTTCCTTACAGATGCTCGTTTATCAAGTTCCTGTTGCTTTTTATCAGTGATCTGAAAATAATTAAATAATAGTATAAGAAGCTGTTATTTAATAGTTATAATAATAGCCCACTTCTGTATATATTACTACTAATATACACACAAGAGAAGGCATAAATGAGTTAATAAGTTCCTTACAGAAGCTTGTTTATCAACTTCCTGTTCCTTTGTATCTGTGATCTGAAAATAATTAAAGACTGGTAATTGGAGCAGTTATTTAATATTAATATTATAGGCGCACTTGTATATGTATATTAGTGCTGGAGAAAAAGCATAAATGATTTAAAAATTTCCTTACTGATCCTCGTCTAAGTTTTCGTGCCAACTTTTCAGTGATCTGAAAATAATTAAATAATGATAATAAATGCTGTTTGTTAACATTAATACTTTTAACTCACTTTTTATTTATTTGTGCTAATATAATTACAAGTTAAGGAATAAATTAGCTAAAATGTTTCTTACAGATGACGATCGGGCTTCGCTCTCTTGTGGTACATTCTGTCCCGCTCTCTGAAAATAATTTGAAAAAAGGTTTTAATTAACAAATATATATACACAAGATTCTATAATTACAAAAATTAAATTTTTATAATCACATTTTTTAAAAATAAAATTAAAATAATGTAAATTAAATTATTATTTAATTATGAAAGATTCTTTGACTCTTAAAGAAGATGAAACGTATGCCAAAATATATTATTTGAATTTAACCAACATATTTTTAATCATATTTCTACATTATTTTAGTAATGCTTGGATTTCCAGTAAAATAAATTGTTATGTTATTTAATTACTGACTGAGCATAGGAGTTTACACCAGATTTAGTTGAGAATAAGCAGTATGCATGACAATAGAGGATGTAGAACGTCTGTTCTGTTATCTTAAAGATAACAGCCACCAAAAAAAAAAAAACTTTCACCAATTCATAATCCTAATAATATAAAAAAAATACTATTTAAAAAAAGTATTGTTAATACAATCACTCCAATTCATTTTCCGAGCCACAGTTTGGAGGCTCTGCATTTCTTGGGCTCATGGGATATTTTGAAGATTTAGTGTAAATACTAAAAGAACTAGAGTGTACAAAAATAGGACACCACCATTCCTTTTCTGATTTGTGCTTGGGGGACGGGAGTCCTAGAAGATATGAAAATGCATGTTACTAAAGTTCCCAAAAGCAGATTTATTGGATGGGAAAAATGGAACTACATAAACGAGGACCTTCCAATGATCAAAAATAATTCAGCAACTCTTTGTTGTGCGGAAACACCATTGGTAAAGAATAGAGGATGTTGAACATCTGTTCAGTTATCTTAAAGATAACAATCACCAAAAAAAAACTTTTACCAATCCATAATCCAAATAATGAAAAAAAAAAAAATACTATTTAGAAAAATGTATTCTTAATACTATCACTCCCATTCATCTTCATAGGCACAGTTTGCAGGATCTGCACGTCTTAGGCTCTTGGGAGATTTTGATGATTCAGTGTCAATACAGAAAGAACTTGAGTGTACAAAAATAGGACACCACCATTCCTCTTCTGATTTATGCTTGAGGCAGGGGAGTCCTAGAAGATAAAAAAAATGCACGTTACTAAAGATCCCAAAGGCAGATTTAGTGGAAGGGAAAATTGGGAGTACATAAACGAGGACCTTCCAATGATCCATCAATCGTTTGTTGTGCAGAAACACCATTGGTAAAGAAATTTTAATTTTAATAATTTTTTTAATTACCTGCAAGATTTTTTCTATACTAAATGGGTTTAGAACCTCTCGTTTCTACATATAACTTTAAACGAATCGACATTTAATTCGGAAATTTAATAAAATAATTAATAAAAATGAATAAAATAACGCATTTTTACAATATAAAACTATAAAGGCAACTCATTACCCGTTAATTCTCAAGATTACTAAAAATAATAAAGAGAATAAAATATTTGAGTGAGAGCTATATGATATTAGAGAAAAAAGTGCACTACTGTAGTACTCATACCACTACAACACGAGTTCGATTCCCGTATGAGGACAGTAACATCCAAACTAAGAGATTCACAGGAAGATGAGGGATCCCTGTGTCTTACATCATACTTCCTGGTACTCCAGGTTGGGCATAGGTCTAATAACCATAACCTATAAAAAAGAACTTTTTACAAAACTTAAAACTAGCCTCGAAAAATCAGTCCATCCTAAGAAACTGGACAGCAACAGCCCAAGATACACAATGGTGGAGAAGGCTGGTTCAGGCAAACAAAGATTACAAGGTCTGTAGAACCAACAGGGGAAAAAAAAATTAAGACATCATACAAGTTTACCATTAGGCTTGGAATAAATGAATAAGGCCAACGCTAATCTTATTTTGGTATCAAAGCTAATATGCATTCATTAACATTCTGGTTAAAAATATGATAAGCATAAAAACTTAGTTGGTTTTTTATTTTCCTAACCAACCGAAAACATAATTTATATTTCTGGAGGTAATAGTCTTTCTTACATAATTTATCTCACAAAAGAGGACTTTGCATGATTTTTTAAGCAATCGAAACAGCAATATTGTCCATTGAAAGAAATTAATGTATTCAGATAAAAATTGAAAAATTTGGAACAACCTGATTCTTGCATCAAGACTCTCAACTGAAAACTCAGTATATTAATCTATTATATATAAATAAGAAACAGCTAATGAAATTACCAATTACAAATTATTGCAAAGATTTATATCAATTAGCTAATCGTATTCTTAAATTTACAAACTCTGGGATTGTTGTCAAATTTAAATCAGTCCTATAATATTCATTATATAATTTTTATTGTTATATTAAGGTTTAATTTGCCTGTTATCATAAGTATATTTACTAATTTCGCACTTCTGCATGACAAAGAATACCCAAAATTTAAAAAAAAAATGTATATCATCATCTAAGCACCTGTTGCCTTTTCATCTCAAAGTGCATGTTTTAATTGTATTTCTTATAGGATTTAACTAATTACATTGTGAATATTATTATTATCTATATTTAATTGAAACACATTTTTGTGTATCTTGGGTAAAGTTATTCATAAATTTATTTATTTTTCTATAAATTGTCTCTTTGAAGTTTTCATAAATTTCATTGAGTCAAGATATATTGAATGAACTCGAAGGATTGAATCATTGGGATTGAGAGATCTAAACTTGAGTAAATATATCAAGTCCAGCAACTCAACTTCCATAAAACTGCAATGATTTTTATGCTAGTCATGGCAATAATTTTCAGCTCATTAAATCTACACTTTTGGAAGATTTGACGACATAAAACAGATGTTATAAGCTTTATGGTTCAGCATTCACTGCTCAGACCGCTTGGAAGCTGTCTATTCTGTCATGTATTCCATGCTGCTGTAAATATCAAATTATGATGGGACAGTAATTATCTCTAACATTGATGTTTTTGTTAATGGTATATATCATTGAAATGAATTTTTAAGTTCCAACATTAAAAGGAATGTGAGATGTATCTTACCAGCAATCCATCCATTTAAAGGATGCCACACCACTAACAATTTAGAAGAAAAAAAAGCAAGCAATTGCTATAACATCCTAAGATTTTGTTATTAAATTCTTCATGTTGTGGATAGTAAACTATCTTACACCAATTTTAGATTGATTTATAAATTTTAGTTTACTTCTGGTAAGTAGTTATATAATTGGGATAGCCAATCTATATTTATTTTGAAATCAAATTTAATATAACAGTTTTTCGTCTTCATGAAACAATACCAAACCATGAGTGCAGCCAACAATGGTTATTTTCCTATCTTTATTTAAACCTTTTAGGGCACAAATCCTTTTATTAATGGTTTTTTTCTGGTTAAAATTAAATAAAAATGTGGAAACTTGAATTAAATGTTTTGAAAAAAAAATTGTTTTTAACTTCTTGTCCAACTTTGATTACATATCTTAAAAACACACAAGTAGTGTTCTAAGTCTTTATTTGAACATTTCAAGGATGCTAAGGCTACGCTCTTCAGTAACTAAACTTTAATAAAAACAATAAAATAAATAAGTCTCATAAATTGCTTTAGAATATCTTTGTTTCTTAAGCTGTGAGCTAAGATGGAGGAAAGAAAAGGTTGATAGATGATAGATAATCAGGCATGTAAAGTAATTAGGCAATTAGTGCATCCTCATTAGGTTATCTAATTTCTTATGTATCTGCAATTCTATTTATGGTAAATAGTATCGTAGGCCCTTTTGAAATTGATACAAAATAAACCTTTGTATTTGAACTTTTTTCTCTTAAGCTTGACAAGAAAAAAAAATGGTAATATTTCAAAAAATGTTCAGAAGTTGGCAAAATTGTCATTGCTTGTATTAGTTAGACTTAATTAACCTTTTCCTTCCATAGTATAACTTAAGAAATTCTTCATCAAACAAAAGTAAGACAGGTGAAGGTGAATATTGTTAAAGTCCAGTGATGCTTCAATTCATCCAGCATGTCACAGCTGATATGACGAAAGTTCAATTAAAACTTAATTGGGAATATATTTTACATCATAAGGGCCCTGTATCCTCCTCACAAACTTGAGGAAGATGATATCACAAATTACTGACATTTCTAATGACAACCTGAGGAGTTCCTAAATAAAAAAAAAAACAAAAAAAACTGAAGCAGATGACTGTCCAACCATTGTGATCATAATACCTATTGTAAAATCAATCAGTAAAGTAAAAAAAAAAAAGTCTATGGAATCTACCGGACACAATGCTGTCCTTTTAGAAGCTACATGAATGTTTTGAACATTTTTTTTTTTTTTTTTATCATGATGGTCCAGAAGCTAGTTTTGTGATAAAATAATAAAAAATTATAATCCTGTGATTGATCATGGATTATGTTGCCAAAAACTTATTTGAAATACAATTAAAATTGATTCTTTTCAAAAGAAAAAACAATATTTTGATTAGGATTTTTTTTATTACACATAAGGAATTTCAGCAATTTAATATATTTTTGTTTTGCACTTACTGTTCCAAATCCCTCTTTTGAAGCACCTCTACTAGCCTCCTGCTCCTGAAATACATTCTATTTTGAAAAGAAATAAAAATAATTCATAAAATGAGGTATAATTATAGGAATTATGAATCTTCTAAAAAAATCAAATAACCCTACTTCATATTTTCTGAATCATTTCTTATATTGTAAAGAGTTTAGAAATTATATCACACTGATTAGGACAAATGGTAGAATGTAATATAGAATTGTTTTTATAACATGAACATTATGATTATTATTCATAAATAAATTAAGGGATGCATAATTTAAATCTTGTTATTTAACAGCAATATTCATTCATGTTATTTACATATTGAAGTCTTGTTATGTTACATATTAAAGTCTTGTTATGCTACATATTGAAGTCTTGTTATGCTACATATTGAAGTCTTGTTATGCTACATATTAACTTAAATCAAGGGAAGTAACTTTTTCAGCCTTTTATCTTCTTTAACCTACTAATTTAATATATCAATTTCGAACCTCAATAGGTTTTTCTTCTCTCCTCAATCTGTTCCATTTTGACTTGCCAGGGTTTTCTCCCAATTCCGCCCGCCTGAAAATATCACAAGACCTACAATCGGCAATGGAATCTCAAGATCTATCCTTATCCTTTTAGATTTTCCCAAAGCATAGGATAATGTATCCCTCCACCACAATCTTCCTATTTTCTATTCCAGTCATTAACAATCAAATAACCGACATATTTTTTTTAAAGTGGTATTTTCGCAGCTTGCAATCTTTCATTCATTTCCTTCTTAAATATAACACTTTACCATTCTAATCTTTAATTCTTCCTTTCAAAACATCTATATTTCATAAATCGGTTATTATTTCCATTCTTTCTGTACAAAATTCCTCATCTGTTTACAATGAAAATTTTTTCAACCAGTTTTCCAAAGATTACTTTGGACCTTTATTCCTCTACACTAGCGGATCCAGGATTTAATTTGGGGGGGGGCTTCAGCCCGAAATTTATTTTTATATATATAACGATTATTACTTTGGAAGAAGAAGAAAGAAAATAACTATCTATATGTAATGGTTTTTAAGTTATTCTTGATGTCCTCTAAAATGTAATTAAACGAACAATGATACTTTTAGAGAAATTTTTTAAATATTTCTTTCGTAAAACATAATTATATTTTACCATTTTGGGAGGGAGGCTTCAGTTCAAAAGTCTCCTCTCCCACTATGTAGATCCGTTTGTGTTTCTCTGTAGTATAGAAAAATCTGGTGCGGTGCACGCATTACACAACTTTCACTTACCACTCTCATCTTAGCAAAAATAAGTATTTTCGGACAAAGCGATGTGAAAGTAAAAATTATAGACTATATTTATTTATATTTCATTGTGGGTATTTTTATTTTTTAGTACCCTCATATATACAAATTTTCATATTTATATCACTGTAAAATATAAAATTGAATAATACCAAAAATAGAAATTATGAAATCCACATATGTATATTTATATAATATTGTAGGAGTCGGTATTATATTAATCTCATGATAGGTATGGAAGCGTGTTCTAATCTTTCCGGCGAGCTTGAGTGCGCTCGTATTCCTTTGATTCCTCAATTACAACTATTCTCCGTTACGATCTCTTATTTCGCCTTTAGTTATTTATCAAATTCTTTCATATTTTATATTTAACCATTTTTCATATTAGAAATTAAAGTGAAATGGTCAATTGTTTCAAATAAAAAAAAATAAAGGCACTTTAGAGGAAGCTAATATTGAAAATTATCTATTTAAGCCTTGTTAGAGAACATCAATCAGAATAATAACCATATTTTATTTAAAACTGCTTAATTTTACACTGATATGATGAATTAAATCAAAATCGTTAGAGCGGTTTTCGAGACAATCGTAAAAATTTGTTTAGTCCATTATATAGAGTGTCATAAAGTGCCACTTCCAATTAGCCATTTTGACGAAAAAGTTGCTGTAACATCCCTAGCATATAAAAACCTTAAATATGCAATTTCACTTGCGTTCGACTTATCGTTTTTGAGCCGGACTGTTAACACACACACACTGACCATTTTGCGGGACTTGGTTATTTGGACTCAAAACGTGTATTTCAGTTGACAACTCAGATTCAAAAAATTTCACGATCGCAATACTTATCCTTATTGTATATTACATATATAATACGATAAGTAAGTGAAAGTAAAAATAAAACAATCCTTGTCTTCTTTTTTTCACTCCAAAAGCCTTTGACTGTTGTTCATAATCCAAAATTAAAAATATTACCAATGAAGTCGTCTTTATGTCTTCAATGATCTATCTGATACGAGCCAGTGAAATAAAAATTTATTCAATTTAACATTTTGAAGGGGGAGTGGAGGAGAAGGGAGTGAAGTTTGGCGGGAGAGGGTGGGAGTTCAGAGTTCACAACCAAACGACCGAATTCGAAATACCAAAATTATTTAACAAACATTGTGTAAATAGAAAAAGGGTGAATGGAATTGTAAACAAAATGTGAATTAAAGGTATTTCTTCCGTTTCGAAGGACCATGACCAAGCAAATCCACTAGTCGAAAAGTGCGAAAATGCAAAGCAGTTTTTTGGATATTCAAAAAGTGATCTGGGGAAAGGGAGAGGAACCGCCGAGGTAGAATATTTGATTTTGCATCTCAGTCATATCCCATAAATAAATTAAAAAAGGAAATCTACTACCGCTGGCAACTTAGATTCCCTTTTCATGACAAAGGATATTGGACTACGATACAGATCACTAAATCTTCTCGCTTCTCAGGCTTCTAGAATCTTGGTAGCCGTTAATGTAACAATCACTAAAAATTGGTTTTTTTCATATTGAAAATAATGAAAAAAAAAAAGGATTAATATTTAGATGCATAAGACAAATTTTATTTTTATAGGAAATAACTTTGTATTATCATGTCTCGACATCCAATAGGTTTATTGTCCAAATTTTAAATTTTCACTGGTCATCTTAGTTGAGATTGTCGCAGGCTGCTCCAGCCTCAACAGCTGCAAAAACGTCTGCATCGATACTATTTATAGTTTAGAGAATGAACTATCGTCAAAGAGTTTTGAAAAAAAAAAAAAAAAAAACAAAGACGAGATTTATGATTTTTGTTACTATATAACATAAAGGTCTAAAGTAATCTTTAGAAATGCTGATTGAGTAGAATGATCAGAACGGAAACCTGGAAAGAGTTGAGGAGATTATTATGCACGAACAGGAAGGTAGTAACGGTTCCAGGAATTCGCTGTAGAGGTATTTATAATATGTCCGTACTCCAAAGCAAATGATCGCAAATCCTTAATAAATACATAAGGAAAATAATAAAGCATTGAATAATAATAATATATTAATCATTAAATAATAATATTTAATAGTACTTACAATAATTAATGATTAATTAATAAAATGTCCCTTAGAACATTTAAAACATCAAATGTTTTGTTTACGTTAGGCTAAAGCTGCAAAATACTTCCTTTGAAAGCTTGAAACACCTAAATAATGTTTATTGTGAGTAAATGGGGTTTGTGACAACATCAGCAGTAACATACGGTCTCTTGTGGAATGGTTGAAATTTTACCACTTGAAAAAAATGAAGACAGCAATAGTGATATCCCTAACCTTGTGGAGAGAGCGTTTACTTTGAATTTTCAGCATAAGCGGACATACTTGAACTGCTAGCGAGTAGAGGTCCAGATGATCCTCGGAGGTAGTCAATGATATAATAACCAGGAGAAAGACCAAGAAAACTAGGAAAAATGCAACTGCAAACCAAAAAAAAAAAGCCTAATCAAAAAACACAGAAGAGATCAAGAATTATGGCAGAAACCGTGAAATCTCTCCCACTGAATGGAAGAAATACTCCCACATTGTCGAGTTCGTGGGAAAATAGAGACAGAAGGTGAAGCCCACGCACTCCATGATAGGAAAAGAAAATCTACCAGCAGGCCAGGAGGAAGAGGACCGGCAGAGGCAACAGCATCAAGTTGCTAGACGAAGCGACCCAGGAGGGTAGAACGCGCAACCAGCTGGAGACTAAGGTCCCACTAGTAAGACGCACACCCGTGCACTGGGCCTCACCACAGTATTCAATCATTAAAATTGAATAAAAATAAAATATAATAAAGAGCCTTGTTGGCAGCAGTAGACGCATGTATTCCCAACGTATTAACCTACTGCTGCCGAAACCTCGAATGGCGAAAGTGCCAGTAAGGGAGAAAAGAAAAAAAAGATATATATTCTCCTTCCCATGAAGGTATTGGAAATCCTTCTCATGACGAACTTAGGGCTAGTCTTTTTCAAGAATGGATCATTAACGGCAGTACGGATTCACTAAAGGCAACAACCCCGCATAGAGGGTGGATAACTATGTTATACTTTTCCTATTTGACATATCCTCCGCCTTCGATAGTGTTTGGTGGCAGAGCCTAATCTAGTTGTTGCACAAGGGTGTGAGGTTCTCAGCAGTTAGCAATCTTTTTTTTCTTTATCACGTCCTTACGACATCGGATAAAACAAAATTTATGGCAATAAACCAAAAAATCATCCTCATTAACTGGAAATTTGTAGATTTATTTATTTTCGAGAGTTTCGAGCACTGGAATCATTTACATTGAAGTAGATTTAAAATCGTTCCCGACGGTAGACATTTTTCGACCCCTATATCTCCTTTTAGACTATATGGGGATTTTCTAGGGAGAGGATTTAATGCAGAGTTAAAAGTCCTCTCTCTCCCTCCGCTGGCACAGGTACGCGAACTCATAATTATTTTATACCTTTTTTGGGGGGGGGGAAGAGGTCCTCCCCTTCCTCGCCTTTGAGGCTATACTGAGGTTTCCCGGGGCAGGGGGTGTGGGCGGGGATTTAAAAGACTCCTCCGGTACCGGGACTCCTGACTTTTATATATCAATTCTCTCATATATTAGGTTGCCCCGCCACGGCGGTGCTGTGCACACACTTTTGCCCGTTCGGTCACCCCGCCCCTTCTCGGCAGTATACAGATTTTTATTCTTCAGATCCACAATAACTTCAGTAAATGACCACGATCAGAGATTGAGACTTCTTATTTTAACTCTACTGTCAATTCATTTTAGTAACCTCTTAATCTAAGGAGTAAAACTGGCCATTTGCTGCCGTCCCGACCGAACAGAATCGTTATTACTGCGAACATGATTCCTTTATAAGTGTGCGCCATAGACTTTAAGAAAACAATAGTTAGATGACACGTATAAACAAGATTTGCCATTTGAAATGCCACAAAAATATTCACAAACTCTTTCCTCCTTCTGTTTTTTTTGTTGCAACAATATTCATACTGGATCCCTGGCTATTACAATGTGCCTCAATAACCTCCTAAAACAGCATCTCTTTCTAAGCCGTTGGTTATAAAATGTTATTTTTGTGGAGGAATCCAATTCACACCAGGTCTTTCTGTCCTGCTCGAGAGACCACATCATACGAGCGTAGTATGATGCGCGATAACAACATTATACGGGGTAGTAATGATGAGATCCAGTAAATATGGGCAACTTTGAACGATGATGAATATTTATAACGTTCTCTCTCTATTAGTAACGGCGAACAGTATGTACCGCTCGCTGGTGCACCTGATAGAAGGTAATCTAGAATACGCTCAAGTCAGACTAACAGAAAGAAGAGGACTGACGTTTTCTTCACGTCACCTGCCTCCGGCTGCACAATATGGGAACAAACTTCCTCACATGGTTCCCCGAAAGCCTTAAATTCCTCAAGCGGACCACCCAGCACCCGAGCAGAAACTTCAGTCTCATCTAGCAACTACAATTAGGTCTGCCTCAGAAGGCTGAAACCCATCCTACAACTCAACATACTAATTAACCTTAATCCCGCTCTAAAATACAAATCAGATGAAGCATACGTGTCAGGAAAACTCCAAATTATTACCAGGGCTGTTTCTAAATAATGAAGAGAAGAATGTGTTAATAACCTTGCTTCATTGAAAATAGAATTTTAATGTTATAACCTTAATTAAGTATATTGTTATCGCTTATTATAGTCTTAATTAAGTGGATTCAGTCCCTTTGTTAACAATGAACCATAAAATACATCTCAGATAAATCAGTTCCAAACGAACCAAGTTGTACAAAAAAAGAAAAAAAATGCGAGAGACCATAAGCAACGTCGCCATAGAATTTTCTTATTTTGTTTAAGACATTTAATTAATTCTATTCTGATAAAATATGAAAAAAAAAACTTGTTAGATCAGACTGTTATGTATAACAGTCAAACAAGTTTTTTGCACAATAATATAGTTCATAGGTGGGGAACCACGGCCTCTGTGGCGTAGTTGCGGCCTCCAAGTGTTTTTTATTAATTTAGTACTAGAATCAATTATTAAACTAACGACAATTTGATAATTAATAGAATTAAGTTATGTGTATGTATTTAGTGATAAATAAAGATAACAGCAGTCAACTATAAAGAATTATAGCGGCCTCCATTAACACTGTCTAACCTTACTGCGGCTTCCAATGATAAGAAGTTTCCCCACCTATGATGTAGTTAGTGAAAATTCGCTTGTAAGCTTTACTAACCGTTGGTCTTTCCGCTCCTCCTCCTCCCTTCTTTAAAGTCAGATAAAGCCCCGTCGCAAAAGCAATTATTGAAAAAAATGCTGCCAAAGCAAGACATTTTGTTGACTGAGAATACTGAGCACTAGAAAAATTTTGATACATAACTATAAATAAAATTTTGATTATGTAGTAGTGTAAAGTGGTTGCATTTTTGTAAGCTAATTTGATATTTACAGCTGTGATTTATCGTCCCCTACGTGATATTTAATAATAAAATAATTATTGGAATGTTTTTAAAACTTGAGCTTTAATATTATTTACAATCAAACTTTAACAGTTAATTACTAATATAAAAAGTAAGGAGTGCGATTGGCGCATCCATGGAGTTGTAAACAGAGATGAGCATCAATGTAATCGGTGGTCATGATCACAATTAAAAAAAATAAAAATCGTATCAAAAATCAAACAAAAATCAAATTTTTAGGCAGTTAATTTATTAAAATTGTGTAGTCCAGAAATCATGTCCATTGACGTCAACATTGGGGCTGGGTATGGTACTTTCGCCCCTCCATACCAGTATTTTATAAACGGTGTCAGCCCGTTTTAATTCCAAGAGTCAAGTGCGTACCATTTTTTTGATGCGGAGTTTCTGAACCGATTGGTTGATTGGAGCGATTTTTAAAAATCAAACAAAATAAATATTTTTAATAATTGGTAAATGGTTGACTGTCGTGAATAATGAAGAGAAGAATAGTTGGGGTGATCAGTCAAATAAGAAGGCAAAAATAAATGATACTATTTATTTTGACATTAGCCGACGTTTCGACCTGAAGTTCAGGCCATCATGAGGGCTAAGAAAAGAACCAGATAACAAGGTATGAGAAACATAAGTAGTGTAGGTAAAAAAATTAAAGTAAAATTCAGTTGTTAGAATAATGACAATAGTAAGAACAAAGAGATAAATGATAATAAGCGGTACAAAGTGTGGAATGATGAAGTAAACATAATAAAAAAAGGAAAAGGTGACATAAGTATTAAAATGGGAAATCTTAGAATAAAATGTAAAAACAGAAAAATAAATATTTTCTTTATCTCTCAGAAATCTTTTTAAAATTGCAATCCTTGAATAAAATCTAAGCATTCTTCGAGAAGTGTGAGAAAAACCCCCGAAAACAAAACAAAAAAGAATGAGGTTACAGGTAAATACCTGCCTGCAAACTAAAAACAAGGTGGTATAGCAACATTTATTGTTGCCCAAAATCTAGTCTTTATCTTGCACTTAGCAAGACCAAGACCAGCAAAACCCCTAATTGTTCCAAGACCAAGATCAAAATGGACGCTGCAAAAAATATTTTTATGAATAAAAATTAAAGCAAAACAGTTACTAATACTAGACAATTGTAGTTACTCCGTATAAAGAATTAGTAGAACCAATTTTCTTTTGCATTTAACTTTTCCAATTTTTCATTCGGGATTTAGTTAGGTTTCCCCATTCTGAAAAATGGCAGTAATATATGTAGAGTATGTAGTAGTTACATTTTTTAAAATATCATTAAATATACTACGACCAAACTGCAAACGAATCGTCTAAATCGTACCAGTTTTAGCAACGTTACAGTGTATTGAATTTTATACACTGATATTAATAATTGTTCATTTGCCCGTTTACACTGCTTCAGTTCATCAAATAAATCGTACACTTATGATTGTTATGCTCGGTTAACAAGAAAATTTGTCTAATTTAATTGTGTCATTTTTAAGTAACATATTTAAAATTTAAGAAGATTGTTTAAAACCAGTAGGGAAATCATGTGAGTGGACACACCAGATTTTTTTAATTAAAATAATTGGTGACATTGTATAGATTGTCTTTTCTATACCTAACAACTGTAAGCTAATAGGTAACTGCAACTCTTTCATTTGGGCAACTCTAAGTACACTAAACAAGATTAACATATTTATTGAGAGATATTACAATCTGCCACAATTAAGGACACTTATACAAATGTTCAAAGAGCACATTCACACCCCATTCAAAATAAATAATACAGAAAAATAATAATACTAAAAGTAAATGTAAATAAACTAAAATAAATTAAACTAAACAAAACGAAACTAAGCTAATGAAAATAATTACTCAAATACATACATGCTTCTATACAATATCTAAAAAAAAAATCATTCACTCAAAATCTCCGAGCCAAGCCTTTCTCCTCACTCGTGGAAGGTAAGGCAGGACTCGAGGAGATCCCAGCGCCCCTCACTCACTAGAATTAAAGAACAGTAGAGGCTGAGCAGAGGCGCAATAATCACACATACATGGATAATCTGGCCATTACCATAACTTCCACTAGCGGATTCAGGATTTAATTTTAAGGGGGCTTCAGCCCGGAAGCTTTTTTTTTTTCATACATATACCGATAATTTTTTTGGAAAAATAGAAACATTCTAAATACCTATATGAATTGGTGTGTAAGTGATACTTGAAGTCCTATTAAATGTAATTAAACGAGTTTTTTTTTCTTGATTGTAGGGAAAAAAAAAACTTTTTATATAGTTAACCGATGAAGGACGATGTTCCACAAGACGATGTCTTCATTCCCTCCATATTTCTTCAACAATATCCTTAATAAATCTCATAGCTTTCTTCAAGGGAGAACTTCAATGATAAAACCGTTCTATTATTTCACCAACAATATGTTTGTGAAATGTTCTCCTCTGATGTTTGATACAGCCAATGATGAATTGTGAGTTACTAAGTTAAAAGTTTAAGATGAAAGATGCTATGTCTCATTTCAGGCTTTCCAATCACAGTGCATTCTGTTTATCAGAAATCACATTTTACAAGTCAGATTTTAGCGTTTTATCAGATTTATGATTGCGTACTGTGCTACAGTATTTTTCATCGGGCAAAACTACGGACTTTAAAAACTTACTAAAAGTAGAATTAGCGGTTCCACCATTTAATTTATGGTTACAATTTAAAATATTTAAATGGCTTAACAAATTTAATATTAATTTATTCATAATTATATTTATTACATTAATTTCATCTTCTGACCAGAGGATTACTTAGAAGTTGCTTCTATGTTAGTAAAAGTTTGTTGTGACTTTCTGCAAAAGAAACAATAAGTAAATTAGATATACTTATCGTCGAATTAAAAATAAATGTTTCAGCCAATTTAACTCATCTATTTAGTACCTCAAGTTTTTTTTTTTCTTCGTGGTCATCTTCATTGTTTTTTAGGCTTTCTTCATTTTCATCCGTTGGTGTTTCCAAAATCACAGTTACGAACTCACTTTTAGCTGCCCTGAAATGCACTATAAATTTATTTTTAATAAATCAATTTTTTTTCCAAATCCTATGTCATTCAAACAACAAGCGTGCTTGACAATGTTTTTAGAATAAGTCCTAGGTGCACAGTAGGAATTTAAAAGTACATTGCTCATTGTAACATAATTACATATATTGGTGTTTTAAAAAACTCAAACAAAAAAAAACATGGTAAAATATATTGGAATATGTTAGAATTTTTCTAAATTATAACCTAACATCTATGTTCTGTATCTTGATTAGTTTGTTACTAATTTATATTAATATTTAGATATAGTACCTCATACAGTAGGCAGCAGTAATTGCCATGATCTTATCACAGACGCTCATAAGGATCGGAAAACCATGTCCAAGTCCTGTGAAACACATCACTATGCATCGCCCTAATAATAATAATATATAATTAGGGTTTGAAATTATAAATAAGCTTACTAAGTAAATATTACAATTAAATCGAAATAAAATAGATAATAATTATGAAATTAATAAAATTTAAACTGCTTCTAATCATTAAATGGTATTTAACTGTAAAATGGTATTAATGTAAACTTTTTAATTTTGTTGTTTGTGTCTGCTTTACATCTACTCAACTCTTTTAGCTATCCCTGAATAGTCATTCTTTCCACAGGCGGATCTAAAGAGGGGGTTTTCGGGCTGAAGCCCCCCTCTCCCCCTCCAAAAATGGTAAAATATAAACATGTTTTACAGAAAAAAATATTAACAACTATCTCTTAAAGTATTCTTGTTCGTGTAATTACATTTAATAGGACTTCAAGAACCACTTAAACACCATTTCATATAGGTAATTAATTTCTTTCTTTTTTTTCTAATTAATTATCGTTATATGTATATGAAAAAAAAATCTTTCGGGCTGAAGCGCCCCCCCCCCAAAAAAAAAAATTAAATCCTGGATCCGCTAGTGATTCTTTCCTAAGAGGAGAAAACGAACAGAGGATATAGAGAAACGTCAGATGAGAATAGTGATCCTTTCAAACCGAGTCCTCTTAACAAACTGACCAACTGCAGCAGGGGTGCCCATTAGGGATGGGTCAGATTGTATGTATCAGATACTTTGTATCTGATACTAAACAGTATATGATACAATCATTAGATACAACCCAGAAGTATCTAATACAGATGCGTACATGGATACAAAAGGTGTTAAAGACTTGCCAGATTGATATAAAAGGAATGTTATATATGTTTAGTTATATTTTTAGTTGTACACAATTTTTTTAGAACTATCTATTCATTAATTTCAATTTAGTTAAATGTATATATATATATACACACACAAGTACATCTTTAATATATGTTTTATCAGGTATCAGATAGGTATTAAATATAATTATTATTGTTAAATATGAAATTATTAAATAAAATATCAAACCCGATCAGTAATCAATTACAGCTAGATAGCTGGATTAAAATATCCAATACAATTATTGGGGTATCCAGCCGAAGCGCCAGTATGCATAGCACTTAGGGAATCTGATAAAAATATCCGATACAAATATCAGATAAAAATATTCGATACAAGTATCAGATAAAAATATTCAATACAAGTATCAGATAAAAATATCCGATACAAGTATCAGATAAAAATATCCGATACAAGTATCAGATAAAAAGTAATTAGAAGGTAGTGAAAAACTACTGACCCATTTGTATTAGACAAAAGTATCAGATACAAAAAAGTACTCATATCAGTTGTATTTAGATACAAAAATTCTGGTATCAACCCATCCCTAGTGCCCATCCTTCCAAGGTCGATGGCGCATGAACCCTCTCCTACCCAAGCTATTTTATTGTTTTCTTCTTCTTTAATACATTAGAAATAAAACTATCGTAGATCATATACAATTACACTTTTCTTTTTTTTTATATCCTCCCCTTCCTTGTTTTTAAGGCTAT